TGACTAGACCGTTAACCATTTTTAAAACTTTTAAATTTTTTTATTTTTTTTTTGTCAGAATGAACCAGCCATTTAGGTCGAATGACTAGACCGTTCGAACCGATAACCAAACCCTCTGACCGGTTCGTTTTTAAAAACCATGATGTAAAAGTTGTTGGAATGGGGGTTGCACTGATTGAAGCTGAATTGGTCTGGGGAGTGAAGTGAATCATATGGGTTGATACTCAAAAAGGACAAGAGATAGGAGAAARGCGTTTTGAGAGAAAAAGGTAAATCAAATCAGAGAAAAGAAATACTCACTTTCCATATACAAAAAATCTGCCAACTGCCAAAAAGCACAGCTTTCCCCATAAACCAATGAAGTTGGCCTTCGTCAAATTCTTTCCCTTTCTTTACCTTTTTTTATTTCAAACACCAAAGGAAAGGTAGGTAGAGATCGGTAGAGTGAAATCAATCCAACAACCCAATAAGGTTTTAACTTTCAATTTTGGCATATTAATTAATGTCCATTACCGCCATGAATATCTTCAAAATATTATTATTAAAAATTCATGGGCTCATCAGGTTGAAGGTTGCATTAGGGTTATTTTGGATACTGAGATCTGAGATGTATACATTTATTTGAATGCAAAAAAAAGCATATTCTGATTTGATTTTTGTTTTGGTTTTTATTTTATTCCATTCAAATAAAATAAAATGGGGCGGGAGATTCACATTTACCCAACCCAAGAATAGAGTAGAATTGCCACCCAAATCATTTGCAATATTATGAATTCTGACCGTAGATTGATGCCAAATCCACGGGAGGAACTACTACAGTATGGGGGCTGTATTTCAGAATTCGTGTATTTGTATTTTGCAACTAATACAAAAGTTATTTAATTTAAATTTAAACAAATTTTACATTATCATAAATTGTATGATGCATTTAGATCTGCATTCTTACCAAACACAGCGGAAGGCATGATCCGGATAACTATGGCATTGGACACGGAGGTGTGGGTAGGTAGGATATGATGTGGTCATGTGATTCGGGTTAAAACTAAGAAAAATGAAAGAGCCCATATCCGACCCGTAATTCTGTATACCCAGATACACGGGTTTGGATCCGAATAAAAAACAACAGAGCTAGAGAGAATGTAATTTCTGCAACCAAACAAAAGAGCTACCTACACACACCATAAACGAATCACGAAAGCAGATCTCATACACAATGACACAAACAACTGAAGAGAAAGATTCCATTTCACCTAATCATGATTATTGACAATAATCACATAAATACTAATTAATTAAAAATCTTAATTCCTAAATTCCACTCTCCCCCGCTCTGCTCCTTCAAGCAGGCGTCGGATTCTCCGCCGGAGATGTCCAGACAATGTCCTTCAAAGCCGGCCGGAGCTCCTTCCTGCAGAACTGGTTGTACTCCAGAGTATCTCCTCCGTCCTTTTTCACTTCCACCACCAAGAACGACGGAGCCACCGCGAAGATTTCCGCTGCGATCGCTAGCTTTCCTTTCCTTCCCCTCTCTTGCCCCTGCAACTTCACCACCGACTCGCTCTTCTTCACGCTGAACTTCATCGCCCTCGCCACCTCCTCCAGCCTCGATATCACGCTGCTCGCCGGCCTCGTCGTCGCAAACCTCAACTCCTCCTTTTCTTCCCTCTTCTTCTCCTCGAACAACGGCGACAGATCGAACCCTTCCGACAACGATATTATGTGGAAGGCGTTAAGTGTCTCAGGTTGCTTCCACTTGGCGCCATTCTCCTCTCCGTCGAAGCTCTCGAATTCCATTTCTTCCTTCGTTCTTATCGTCCTTGGCAACGATTTCTTGAACCAGGACGTCTCCATGATCTTAGCTATAGTGATCCGAGTGTTGGGATTTGGGTCCAATAGCTTCGTGACTAGTCGGCGAGCCTCGGATGAGAACCAAGGCGGACACTTAAAATCTCCCCTGTAAATCTTCTTATACATGGCTACAATGTTGTCGTCCTGGAATGGTAAGAAACCTGCAAGAAGCACGTACAGAATGACGCCGCATGACCAGAGATCCGCCTTTGCCCCATCGTACCCTTTCTTCCCGATAACCTCCGGCGCGACGTACGCCGGAGTCCCGCACGTCGTATGCAATAGGCCATCCGGTTTCAGATGCTCGGTGAACGCGCTGAGCCCAAAATCTGTAACCTTCAGATTTCCTTCCTCGTCGAGTAGGAGATTCTCAGGCTTCAGATCCCGGTGATATACGCCACGGCTGTGACAGAAATCGACGGCGGAGATAAGTTGCTGGAAGTAAGCGCGTGCAACGTCTTCCTTCAGCCGACCCTTCGCGACCTTGCAGAAAAGCTCACCGCCTCGGACGAGCTCCATGGCGAAGTAGATCTTGGACTTGCTGGCGAGGACTTCATGGAGTTCGACGATGTTGGGATGCTTCACTATCTTCATTACCGAAATCTCCCGCTTTACCTGTTCCGTCATTCCAACCTTGATCACCTTTTCCTTCCCAACAACCTTCATCGCCACGCTCTTGCCGGTCTGTAGGTTCTTGGCATGGTAGACCTTAGCGAAGGTTCCATGACCCAGTAGACGGCCTAGATCGTACTTCCCGTGAAGAACCGAGCTCTGGTCGCCTCTATTCTTATCCGCCATTGACGTGAAGTAGGATTCTTTACAGAAAAGAATGAAAACAAAAAAGAAAAAAAAAATGTTTTTGGGGATTTTAACTAGGAAGTGTAAGAGGAGGAGTAGAAGAAGGCGGAGGAGGGGGTGGCCGGAGAAAGGAGTCTACCCGTCTTCGACGTGTTTACGGTGGCAATTCCTCCCACCATTGATCTTCCTGGAGGCCGGCCCTCCCAAATCAGGGTTGGAAATCGGAGCTCCTCCCATCTTTCTGCATTCCCTGTGAGACTCACAGGAACTGAGAACAAAAGGAAAAATGCTGCGAGAGAGTAGTGTAGGTTGGTCTGGGCTTTCGGAGAGCTCTCTGTTTCTGAGTTCATGGATCGGATCGGTGCCTCACGCTCTCGTTTTATACTGATTTAGAGCATCTGAATTACCATATTACCCTTGTAAGTTCCTCTTGGTAACGGTGAAAGTACCGTAATTAACGGGAAGAAGTTGGGGCATTTTTGGATAGTGAGAAGAAAGATTAACACTGAAATAGTCAAGTGTCAACCGCCCGTACGAATCGGAGACGGCGACGTCGCCGTTGGACACGAAGTATTTTATTTATATACATGCATGCACATTGCACAACCACCGTCTACCGACCTAAGATACCACGCATCGAACGGTCCAAGATGGTCGAGGCTGGAATGTAGGGTCCATTGCATGAATAGACGTAAGACTAGAGCCTCCACTCCACTTTCTTTGTACGTTCATATGTCGTATCCGACTCGCCAAAGACGACCGAAGCGGTTTGTGACTCGTGAGTAGTGAGGTCGTTTGCCTGTTTACGCCTCTGGGAGGAATCCGCGAGACGAGAGCCCAGTGAGCAGTGACCGCCTTTTTACAGGCCCAGAGGCCCAGGCCCTAGAGTCTCTACCGCCTCTCTCTCTTTCTCTCCTCATAATACATGCTCACAGGAAACAGACAGACAATCCCTGTGGACTTCAATCGATTTGCTGTTCTCAGCTAGTCAGCTTAGCTCTCTAGTCTCTCCAGATTCCGGGTCCCACAGGTCGGTGGTCCCATCTCCCACACGTCACACGCGCGGAACCACGACATCTGAGCCATCAATTGGGTATTCCATGAATATCCACCCTTCCTCCAAGCTGGTTTGCCAAGTGGCATAACGGCAGGAGGTTGGGTCCCACTCCTTCAACGGCGAAGATGGTTAGTAGCAGGAGCCCACGTAGTAGGTACCTCCAGAAAGGAACATGGTTTTGTTCACGTCTCTTGGGTAGAGCGTGATGTCAGCTTTCTAGTCGCCTCGTTGCACACTTGCATGAAACCAGCTATGGCCCACGGCCCAACAACACAAGTTGCAGCTGGAAACCTAATTAAAGAATTAATTGTCTTTAAATGTTGGTAATTATTTCCTGGAATTAAAAGAACCGTAGGTTACCGGTGACCCGTAGTTTTAAAATATTTTCTCTTCTGCAATAATTCTCCTTTCTTTTTTCGAAAATTTGGCTTGGAATTTTGGATGAATTTGTTTGGTTGTGAGAAGACCTGTTCATGGGCCGGGTAGCCCGACGGCCCGGCCCGGCCCAGCCCGCACCCCGGTCGGGTTTGGTCATATAATTAGGCCCGCGGGCCTGACCTCGGGCTTAACACAATAAGCCCGATTGTGTTTCAGGCCGGGCTTGGGATTTGTCAAAAAAGCCCGGCCCGGCCCGACTCAGTATTATATATTTTATAAAATATATAATATATAATATGTATTTTATATATTATATAAAATATATAAATAATATAATATTTATTAAAATATATATTTATAATTTAATATATATATATATATATATATTTTATTCTTTCTTTATAATTTCAATCTATCTCTCTCTTTATTCAGCTGCTTCAACATTAATAATAATAATAATAATATAGGATAAATTTTGGGCCCGGGCCCAGGCTCGGGCTTCGGGCTTTTTATGAGGGCTGGGCTCGGGCCCAAATTATAGGCCCGATGGTCGGGCCGGGCTCGGGCTCGGTCCTTAAAAAAATTTATTAATACACAGTAAAAGCCCGGCCCGGCCCGAACCCAACCCGACCCAGCCCATAAACAGGTCTAATTGTGAGTAATCCCAACATTTTTCCTTCCCAACCCTTCTTCTATTCCTTCTCACCTTTCGCCTTTCGTTACCTAAAATTAGCTTTGGCTATAGTTCCTTGGAAGAAATAGATTGACTGTAGTTGTTTGGCAAGAAACAAACAAGGAGTGCTGGGGATTTCCAATTCCTTGATATATGGGGTTTAATTCTTCTAATTCTAAGTATTTCATATGCAAATCCCACCCAAGACCCAATCACCCAAGAGAACTCAAACCCATGAACCAAGTATTTTGTATTCTTGTACTCTTCCTATATTCAATTTAGATCTAACATCTGAGTCATGATCTGACCCATCTCTTCTACCCTTTGCATGTGCATGGGTGCAACAGCAACAGAGTTCAGTGAATTGACAATTTCACATATAATATAATGCATCAAGAATCTTGATTGATCATGTTGCCATTCTTTAACCAATCATTCTCTCTTAATGGTCCCCTCCTCACATGGCCCTAAATTCCAAGACAACAAAGCCCACAGGATCATTTACTTGCCATACCAACAAACTGTCACTATTTGCAATTGTTTTGGCTGGTGGTGGATAAAAATTCAGTAGGCCTAGCTGACACTAGCAACATTACATTAGGTATAGAGTCTTAGTGAGGAGAGATAGTGGCCGTATAAGAAAATCATAACCATAGAAGTGTGAGTGTGAGTGCCCTATCAATTTGTCTCACTGTCATAGAAAATGTTTACGGAAGGTGACCCTAATTAGCTTTTAATATTTCCACTAAGGAAAAAAATGTGGGAACTACATGGTTTGGTTTGTGATATTTTCTTGTCCTATTAGACATTAATTTTATATATTTCTTTTTGTCTTTTTCATTTATTTATTTATTTCTGTCTACTGAAACAAACTCCATGTTAGCTCGAAAAAAAAAAGAATGGTGGTCAATGGTTCTCCTTATTGTGGGTCTCTAGTTTACATGAATATTAAGTTTAGAGCTTGGTCTTTTTATATATGTTTAGGTCTTCCTCCATAGCCACCAATATTCCAATGTTTGCTCTGCATAAATCATAATACAAAGGCAACCGCCCTTCAAAATAAAGTGTTAGAGAATTGAAATTTATTGAGGGATCTTACCTAATAACTTAAAAGTTTAGATTGAATGGTTTCATATTATCAGAATTTATACGACCAAAAGATTCAGTGTTTAATTTTTATCTGCCCCATTATAATTAATAAAATTTCAGGCATAGAAATATGGATGAATTTGTGCTTGTCCAAACTTCAAGCCAATAGGTTTTCAGGAATCACACCACACAGCTTAAGCCTAAATTTAAAATAAACTATAACTGTAATTGTAACAATTGGAATTGAGAATAAAGGTATTTAAATTAACTGTGGTTCTGCATATCAGAAGGAAATTGGAAGTATTCGGGAGAGAATCTTGTAGCCTGTTGGTAATTAATTTAGACAATAATATAATAAGTATTTCTTCAAAAGATTCTATAAACCTCCATTTTTTATAAAAAATATTAACATAATTAATACCAAATTTAGGCTTCGTGCTTAGGGCTTAAAAGTGTTTTAGCTTTTAGATGGTTATGTTTTTCAACTTTAATAAATATTTCAGTGGGCGGATTCAGGGAAAAAATGTGAAAATGTGGGCCTACCCTGAGGACAAGCATTTCTTCTCTAGACTTAAAAAATGTGAAAATGTGGGCCTACCCTGCACCAACATTAGGTAAGTGCAGTGAAAAAATGCAACCGATCCAGAGTCCCTAAATCCAGTTCATTGATGAATAATAGATGGTAAAGATTAGGGATGACAATAGGTTTGGTTCGGTTCGTTTGAAGGCAAAACCTAAGTAGGGTCGATTTCAAAAACCGAAACCTATTTTATCAAGATTCTGGCTTTGACCTAGGGTATATTTGTGAAATTTGTTCTTTTTTTACTCTTTTTTCTTAAAATAAATGTAATATGTTCTTTAAAAATTTGATTTTTCAATAATAATAATAATATAGATTAAAATTTGTCATTGTATTTTAATACTTATTGTACACACAACTAAGTAAGTGGTGGCTCAATTGTTACGTAAATTGGATAACTAGCCCTAAATGAGATGTGGTTTTGAGCCCCGCTATCGGCTCTCACCACCTTTGTGAAGAATTATTAATATTGCTAGAAAAAGTATTATACTATGCCAAAGAGATTTGAATTACAGCCCCTATGGGGGCAAAGGCAAGTAATATATATATATATATATATATATATATATATATATATATATATATATATATATACTTATTGTACACAAATATCAAATTGAAGAAAAATGATCAAACCATTCAAGTTACTCAATGGTCATGTGAGACCATGATCTTTGCACACACAAGTGCTTGGATTCAAGCCTTCACATCCTCAAAGTATTTTGGATTGTTTTTCAGAGAAGTTCCATTCACATACTGGTTATACCAAGGTTGATTCTCTATGGCCAGTTCAAGGCTGGTTCGAGATTGATTACATTCAATTCTGAGTGGTCAGATTTGGAATTGATTCCATTTGATCCAATTATAAAATATTTTAATATATTTATTGATTTGACACAATTATAATATTTATTGATAATTTGAATCTGATTATATTATAATGTTTATTGATTTTAATATATAATGTATAAATTATATTTAAAATTATAAAAATTATTTTTATATATTATATTCTATCTGAATTTTTATATAGAATAAATTCAATATGTTATATTTACATTAAATTATTATATATAAAAGTTGAAAAGTAATTAACTTTTTTATATTTTAAAAAATTAAAGTAGAGTCAGATTAAATCTAAATCTGATGAGTTCATTAGGATTCGAATTTGAATATGAAGTCTTCAAATTCAACCGGATTTTGTATTAGAGTCAGATACAAGT